GCAGACGATTAGAGGCCGCCTTTGTTCGCAGAGCTGTCGCCCCGCTATAGTCCTGTGTGGTATACGGGCTGTTCATTGCATCGTGAAGTTATTTTCTCTACTATAAGTGTTAAATTAACGAATATACTATGTTTTAGTTGCATCGTTTAAGCTGTATTAACACTAGTTTTGCACACGTGTGCATGCGAAACAGTTTCTAGATTTGGGTTTTAGCAGTAAGCAGACACTTTTTATCACAGTTCCATAAACTAAGTGGGGAGTAATTAATTCAGTTGGTTACAGCTTTCAAAGTAAAATTACCTTTTCTTTACTACCCGTATCAGGTTAATTTATACAGATAAAATCGGTTACCAGTAGACCATTACTAAAATAACCAGTTTCATTATTTATCCATGAAAAAATATTGGGGTAATTAATTTTACATATGCTAGAAAACATTGAATATATGTGCTATGCTGCATGAAATAATGTTTCCTACGACTATATCTACACTGCCAAACACGCATTTTTTGACATGACAGAAATGAATCACATCCCATGACGCAGATGGCACCGCAGTGAAAATGCAACCACAGCCATTGAACACACAATAACGTTGTATGACAAGGATTGGTACATGTATGAGTGCACGTAGTAGATATCGTTAGGGGAGTATCTGGAAGTACAATTTTAAGATAGCAAACGACCACAGAAAACATGCGTTTTCCTGGTGCATGATCGCTCTACATTGCATGACCTGCGATATCGGTCGTCACCGCGGGTTGTATCACAGACACTTCCCACACAAACATTCACCCGCCTGCACCTACGCACGCACCTACGCACGCACGTCTACATACGCGCAGAGAAGCACGCACACATACATACACGCGCGCGAACACAAACATGCACAAGAGCTCTGTAAGTGACAATGTTGTTATTTTAGTCCACCCTGAATGTACCTCTCTCGCAGGGGGTTCCCCGTTCTCTAGGCGCTTATGAACACACGGGTGCCATGTCCCAGACTATCAATTAAAACATAAACAGTTTGAAGAATAAGGAATTCCCATTGGTTCGCTGCAAACCAGGTTTATTTTTACAGCCATGCTCCGTCATTGTGACCTTGTAGCAGAACATGTTGGGTATGAAAGTGTTTCTTTAGAAGCCATGGTAATGGACTGTGATGTAGAACAGCAGTTTATGACAGAAATGAGATTCTTCATTAGCTAATACTGTAACGTCTCCAATATTACCTTAACCAATTATCTCTAATAGCAATTTTATTGTTATTTTATTGTGAAAATACAACACTTTTCACGAAATTCAGGACGTCAAATAACATAACACACGTGACAAGGATATATGATGCAAATAAAAAATCATTCGTGGAATCGACAAGTATAATGTCCTGAATAGCCTTCAAATTCATGCTACAGTGGCATATATGCAGACGACATTGTCTAATCGTGGTCTTACATACAGTAAGCAGAAACCTAGGTATACTGCACATGGCAGTCTGCAAACGGCAGATTGGGGGGCAAACACTTCCATGTCTGAACACCTGCTGTACATTCCATTCAAAGTTTGCACCTGCTGGACAGGCCTACCTGTGCATGTATATATACAGACGCGATCAAGGCGATGTCTAGATATGGTTATCTATCTATATATATATATACATCTATATCTATATACAGGGTGCGAAATTAACGGGAGTCCTGAGTCAAATACTCCCTGATTTACTGTCGGACTCCCTGATTTGACATATGCAGGAGTCCGTGTGACTCCGGGTCCCTGAAAATTCTGCCATACTAACGCACGAAGGGTCGTTGTCGTAACAGGTACTACAGATATGTACCCGAGGTAGTTTTAGGTTGTTTAGTATTATGTTTATATTTTTATATAATTAGGAGGTAGTTTTAGGTTGTTTAGTATTATGTTTATATTTTTATATGAGGTATGTTTAGGGTTAGGGTTAGGGTTAGGGTTAGAGTTAGGGTTAGGGTTAGGATTAGGGTTAATGTTAGGGTTAGGGTACACTTCTGTAGGACAAGTCTGGTACACTTTGTGTATACATATATGTACCTCGGGTACATATCTGTAGTACCTGTTACGACAACGACCCCTTGAGCCATACTAACTAGTTCGTTCCAGAGCACGGCTTCGCGGAATTACTGTATTTGTTCAGCTAATGTCCAAAGAAAATTTGGCAGACGTGCAACTGCATGAATCTTATAAATAAGCACATGTATGCGTTATTGTTAATATCTTTAATTTTGAACCTCAGACTGCGGATTACCTCTTTTTGAGGGTAGGGAGGGAGTCCGTTGGACTCCCTTGTTAAAGTTAATTTGTTAGTTAAGTTAATTTCTACCCCTATATATATATATATATATATATATATATATATATATATATAATACACATATATACATATACTGTAGATGGTCAGACATCATAAGACAAATAATCATTACAATGAGACATAACTTCAAAATGTGAGTAGAGTGAATTTATGACGTTATGCATATATAAACATGCACACACACACACACACACACACACACACGCACGCACGCACGCACGCACGCACACGCACATATATATATTTATTTAGTTATTTAATTACCGACACATGCGCACATTAAGACTTTCTCAAATATTTGTGAATTATGGGTTCTACTTACTCTTTGCATCATATTTTGTTTCTGACTCACGTAGAATATAACTGTATAAGTTGTGTTCATCAGCCAATTTTAAAACAGGTTCAAGCTAGAAGACATCGCTGGTCAAATGTCAGTAAGCTTTAATATATACTGTACTTTCTCGTGAGGATTCATGCAAAATTCATGGCACAGCAAACCTACATAACTTAAATCTAGAAGCTTCTCAAGCTGGCATTTTAAATTAATGTAATAGAATCGTATGTTGAGAATATATTACTTCCATATTTGTTTTAGCATTTTGGCATCTAGCAGCAGAGCTGCTTATTTGTTAACGACTCTTGTTTATTTATTTCACACGCTTTCAGACAAATATGGCATAGTCTCTTTACTGAAATCTCTGGTTCCAAACACAGCACAGACCCTCTACACAAAGAATTTAAATTTTACCTGGAATTTTGCCAATTATAAAATTTCATAGATATTGCCTATTATAGAGTGATAGAGAGATAAAGCTTATTTCCAAAGCAAAGTATTTAAACAAATTTAAGTAACACATTCTTTTGCCAATATAAAAGGGTCATGTCATTTGTTGTCTAAAAACACAAAATCAAGTTTATTAAGAAACTAGAAAGGGCAGTTGTCGCCAACTACAAGTATCCCCCGTGATCTAGTATGAATGAAATATCTCTGTAAAGACGTAGAAGGTAGGTAAAGTTAAATAAGTCACAAAGACAAAAGGTTTGTTACACAACCCATCTGCCTGAGATGTGCAAGTATGTTAAAATTGGTTGCCTTAGGGGTTTTGGTATGCTGCGCACCTTCTCCCCAAGATGTGTAAGTATACCAAGTTTGGTAGCGCTAGGTCAATTAGGGGCCCGAGTTATAGAGCGGAAGGGAAATATAGTCAAGGTCAAGGTCAAGGTCAAATATAGGTCGTAGTGACCTGGTTTTGGTACGCTGCGCACCTTCTCCCCAAGATGTGTAAGTATACCAAGTTTGGTAGCGCTAGGTCAATTAGGGGCCGAGTTATAGAGCGGAAGAGAAATATGATCAAGGTCAAAGTAAAGGTCAAATAAAGGTCGCAGTGACCTGGTTTTGGTACGCTGCGCATTTTCTCCCCAAGATGTGTAAGTATACCAAGTTTGGTAGCGCTAGGTCAATTAGGGGCCGAGTTATAGAGCGGAAGAGAAATATGATCAAGGTCAAGGTAAAGGTCAAATAAAGGTCGTAGTGACCTGGTTTTGGTACGCTGCACACCTTCTCCCCAAGATGTGTAAGTAAACCATGTTTGGTCACACTAGGTCAATTAGAGGTCGAGTTATAGAGCGGAAGGGAAAGTGTCTGCGGCGGCGGCTGGACAGACATGAAACCATAGTATCCCCGCCGACTTCGTCGCGGGGGATACAACAACCCACATACAAACACATGAAATAGCTCACAAATTCTACACTACATATAATGCATCTGTCCTGTTGTAGTATAGACTGCAGTACTGATATATAGACATTTAAGATGAAACATAAAACTATATTTGTCTAGATTTCTGTTACATCTACAGGGGTAGAAATAAGGAGAAAAAAGAGATGGTCCACAGGACCATCTAGTTTGAAATTTAGATGGTCCTCCTAAATTTCAAATTGTTCTCTAATACTAATAGTAATGCGGCGTGCAAGCGTAAGAAATAGATTTTACATGGTGATAAAATGGTTTAATTATTTACCTACAATGAATGTATTAAACGATACAGTAATTGTTTATTCACTTTAATAGTATATTGGTTAATAAAGTTGTTTCAGTAAAATTTAGTTGAACCCATAACACCGGTATATAGTATGTCTCAAATATTTCTTAGAAGCACATTCATTCCTTTAATACAGTTAACATTCCTTCAGTCAAGCAGTTAATTCAAGCAATTATAAGCATTCTTGGCACACCCCATCATGTCCATCTTATCTAATATTTGTTCATCTTCCTCTTCAACATAATCCTCAATATCCTTGGAATATTGCACGTGGAAACTTCAAAGAAAATTACTGTAAAATGGGACCAAAATATTCAATGGTCAGTCGGACCATTGCCTTTGAAAATCTGATGGTCCTGATTATTTGATGGCCCCGGACCATCGGACCATCGCTTATTTCGACCCTTGCATCTATATCCAGTTTAATATATACAGCAAAAACTCTGACACTTGAATTTGTTTTGTTCTGTACATCACAAAGTGGTCTTCATCACAGCAACAGGACTGCATCTGTTGTTCTCACTCATTACCTTGTGATCTATATTTTCTACATGATAAAGAGCAGGCATCACCCACACTCCTGCACACAAAAGGGGAAACAACTGCATGCCTACCTTTATTGTAGTGAGGTGCATTATATAGTGCTCCCGGCGGCTCACCAGGTCCTCCTGTCTTTCCAATTGGTGGTGAAAACATCTAAAACCAGTCATGAATAAAATCAGACATATACTCTACATATTCCAAAGGAAACTAGCATGAAGTTGTAGAAAACTCCAACACAAGTAATACAATACGTGTATGTATTTAACACAGTGACGTATTTAGACACGTGTTGGGTTCAGTGGTAAATTCAGTTTCTCAGATAACAATCTGTACTTTCTTTGTTTTACTGCCACAGTGCTATAGGCATGCCATACAACACAGATAACATAACATCTGTAGTAAGTTGTATAGCAAAACAATGAGAGCGAGTGAGAGAGAGAGAGAGAGAGATAGAGAGAGAGAGAGAGAGAGGGGGAGAGAGAGAGAGAGAGAGAGAGAGAGAGAGAGAGAGAGAGAGAGAGAGAGAGAGAGAGAGAAGAAGAGAGAGAGAGAGAGAGAGAGAAGAGAGAGAGAGAGAGAGAGACGAGAGAGAGAGAGAGAGAGAGAGAGAGAGAGAGAGAGAGAGAGAAGAAGTAAACGATAGAG